ATTCTCGCTTTGGGTGCGAGAGGTCCCGGGTTCAAATCCCGGCCGAGCCCAGATTTTTTTAACTCTTAATTTACGCTTTATAAATGTTTTGTAGATTTAAAAAGGATTACGAAACCAAACTTGATCAAATTTATATTTTATCGCTCTGATTTGCGGCTCGGTGGTCTAGGGGTATGATTCTCGCTTAGGGTGCGAGAGGTCCCGGGTTCAAATCCCGGCCGAGCCCTGGTTTCTTTCCCTCTGAATTTACGCTTTCTAAATATTTTGTACATTTGAAAAAGGATTACAAGGCCAAACTTGTTCAAATATATATTTTTCCGCTCTGGTTTGCGGCTCGGTGGTCTAGGGGTATGATTCTCGCTTTGGGTGCGAGAGGTCCCGGGTTCAAATCCCGGCCGAGCCCAGATTTCTTTTAACTCTTATTTACGCTTTATAAATGTTTTGTAGATTTAAAAAGGATTACGAAACCAAACTTGATCAAATTTATATTTTATCGCTCTGATTTGCGGCTCGGTGGTCTAGGGGTATGATTCTCGCTTAGGGTGCGAGAGGTCCCGGGTTCAAATCCCGGCCGAGCCCTGGTTTCTCTTCCCTCTGAATTTACGCTTTCTAAATATTTTGTACATTTGAAAAAGGATTACAAGGCCAAACTTGTTCAAATATATATTTTTCCTCTCTGGTTTGCGGCTCGGTGGTCTAGGGGTATGATTCTCGCTTTGGGTGCGAGAGGTCCCGGGTTCAAATCCCGGCCGAGCCCAGATTTCTTTTAACTCTTAATTTACGCTTTATAAATGTTTTGTAGATTTAAAAAGGATTACGAAACCAAACTTGATCAAATTTATATTTTATCGCTCTGATTTGCGGCTCGGTGGTCTAGGGGTATGATTCTCGCTTAGGGTGCGAGAGGTCCCGGGTTCAAATCCCGGCCGAGCCCTGGTTTCTTTTCCCTCTGAATTTACGCTTTCTAAATATTTTGTACATTTGAAAAAGGATTACAAGGCCAAACTTGTTCAAATATTATTTTTTGCGCTCTGGTTTGCGGCTCGGTGGTCTAGGGGTATGATTCTCGCTTTGGGTGCGAGAGGTCCCGGGTTCAAATCCCGGCCGAGCCCAGATTTCTTTTAACTCTTAATTTACGCTTTATAAATGTTTTGTAGATTTAAAAAAGGATTACGAAACCAAACTTGATCAAATTTATATTTTATCGCTCTGATTTGCGGCTCGGTGGTCTAGGGGTATGATTCTCGCTTTGGGTGCGAGAGGTCCCGGGTTCAAATCCCGGCCGAGCCCAGATTTCTTTTTTACTCTTAATTTACGCTTTATAAATGTTTTGTAGATTTAAAAAGGATTACGAAACCAAACTTGATCAAATTTATATTTTATCGCTCTGATTTGCGGCTCGGTGGTCTAGGGGTAGATTTCTCGCTTAGGGTGCGAGAGGTCCCGGGTTCAAATCCCGGCCGAGCCCTGGTTTCTCTTCCCTCTGAATTTACGCTTTCTAAATATTTTGTACATTTGAAAAAGGACTACAAGGCCAAACTTGTTCAAATATATATTTTTCCGCTCTGGTTTGCGGCTCGGTGGTCTAGGGGTATGATTCTCGCTTTGGGTGCGAGAGGTCCCGGGTTCAAATCCCGGCCGAGCCCAGATTTCTTTTAACTCTTAATTTACGCTTTATAAATGTTTTGTAGATTTAAAAAAGGATTACGAAACCAAACTTGATCAAATTTATATTTTATCGCTCTGATTTGCGGCTCGGTGGTCTAGGGGTATGATTCTCGCTTAGGGTGCGAGAGGTCCCGGGTTCAAATCCCGGCCGAGCCCTGGTTTCTCTTCCCTCTGAATTTACGCTTTCTAAATATTTTGTACATTTGAAAAAGGACTTACAAGGCCAAACTTGTTCAAATATATATTTTTCCTCTGGTTTGCGGCTCGGTGGTCTAGGGGTATGATTCTCGCTTTGGGTGCGAGAGGTCCCGGGTTCAAATCCCGGCCGAGCCCAGATTTCTTTTTAACTCTTAATTTACGCTTTATAAATGTTTTGTAGATTTAAAAAAGATTACGAAACCAAACTTGATCAAATTTATATTTTATCGCTCTGATTTGCGGCTCGGTGGTCTAGGGGTATGATTCTCGCTTAGGGTGCGAGAGGTCCCGGGTTCAAATCCCGGCCGAGCCCTGTTTTCTTTCCATCTGAATTTACGCTTTCTAAATATTTTGTACATTTGAAAAAGGATTACAAAGGCCAAACTTGTTCAAATATTTATTTTTCCGCTCTGGTTTGCGGCTCGGTGGTCTAGGGGTATGATTCTCGCTTTGGGTGCGAGAGGTCCCGGGTTCAAATCCCGGCCGAGCCCAGATTTCTTTTAACTCTTAATTTACGCTTTATAAATGTTTTGTAGATTTAAAAAGGATACGAAACCAAACTTGATCAAATTTATATTTTATCGCTCTGATTTGCGGCTCGGTGGTCTAGGGGTATGATTCTCGCTTAGGGTGCGAGAGGTCCCGGGTTCAAATCCCGGCCGAGCCCTGGTTTCTTTTCCCTCTGAATTTACGCTTTCTAAATATTTTGTACATTTGAAAAAGGATTACAAGGCCAAACTTGTTCAAATATATTTTTTTCCTCTGGTTTGCGGCTCGGTGGTCTAGGGGTATGATTCTCGCTTTGGGTGCGAGAGGTCCCGGGTTCAAATCCCGGCCGAGCCCAGATTTCTTTTTAACTCTTAATTTACGCTTTATAAATGTTTTGTAGATTTAAAAAGGATTACGAAACCAAACTTGATCAAATTTATATTTTATCGCTCTGATTTGCGGCTCGGTGGTCTAGGGGTATGATTCTCGCTTAGGGTGCGAGAGGTCCCGGGTTCAAATCCCGGCCGAGCCCTGGTTTCTCTTCCCTCTGAATTTACGCTTTCTAAATATTTTGTACATTTGAAAAAGGACTACAAGGCCAAACTTGTTCAAATATATATTTTTCCGCTCTGGTTTGCGGCTCGGTGGTCTAGGGGTATGATTCTCGCTTTGGGTGCGAGAGGTCCCGGGTTCAAATCCCGGCCGAGCCCAGATTTCTTTTAACTCTTAATTTACGCTTTATAAATGTTTTGTAGATTTAAAAAGGATTACGAAACCAAACTTGATCAAATTTATATTTTATCGCTCTGATTTGCGGCTCGGTGGTCTAGGGGTATGATTCTCGCTTAGGGTGCGAGAGGTCCCGGGTTCAAATCCCGGCCGAGCCCTGGTTTCTTTCCCTCTGAATTTACGCTTTCTAAATATTTTGTACATTTGAAAAAGGACTACAAGGCCAAACTTGTTCAAATATATATTTTTCCGCTCTGGTTTGCGGCTCGGTGGTCTAGGGGTATGATTCTCGCTTTGGGTGCGAGAGGTCCCGGGTTCAAATCCCGGCCGAGCCCAGATTTCTTTTAACTCTTAATTTACGCTTTATAAATGTTTTGTAGATTTAAAAAAGGATTACGAAACCAAACTTGATCAAATTTATATTTTATCGCTCTGATTTGCGGCTCGGTGGTCTAGGGGTATGATTCTCGCTTAGGGTGCGAGAGGTCCCGGGTTCAAATCCCGGCCGAGCCCTGGTTTCTCTTCCATCTGAATTTACGCTTTCTAAATATTTTGTACATTTGAAAAAGGACTACAAGGCCAAACTTGTTCAAATATATATTTTTCCGCTCTGGTTTGCGGCTCGGTGGTCTAGGGGTATGATTCTCGCTTTGGGTGCGAGAGGTCCCGGGTTCAAATCCCGGCCGAGCCCAGATTTCTTTTAACTCTTAATTTACGCTTTATAAATGTTTTGTAGATTTAAAAAGGATTACGAAACCAAACTTGATCAAATTTATATTTTATCGCTCTGATTTGCGGCTCGGTGGTCTAGGGGTATGATTCTCGCTTAGGGTGCGAGAGGTCCCGGGTTCAAATCCCGGCCGAGCCCTGGTTTCTTTTCCCTCTGAATTTACGCTTTCTAAATATTTTGTACATTTGAAAAAGGATTACAAGGCCAAACTTGTTCAAATATATATTTTTCCGCTCTGGTTTGCGGCTCGGTGGTCTAGGGGTATGATTCTCGCTTTGGGTGCGAGAGGTCCCGGGTTCAAATCCCGGCCGAGCCCAGATTTCTTTTAACTCTTAATTTACGCTTTATAAATGTTTTGTAGATTTAAAAAAGGATTACGAAACCAAACTTGATCAAATTTATATTTTATCGCTCTGATTTGCGGCTCGGTGGTCTAGGGGTATGATTCTCGCTTTGGGTGCGAGAGGTCCCGGGTTCAAATCCCGGCCGAGCCCTGATTTCTTTTTAACTCTTAATTTACGCTTTATAAATGTTTTGTAGATTTAAAAAAGGATTACGAAACCAAACTTGATCAAATTTATATTTTCATCTCTCTGATTTGCGGCTCGGTGGTCTAGGGGTATGATTCTCGCTTAGGGTGCGAGAGGTCCCGGGTTCAAATCCCGGCCGAGCCCTGGTTTCTCTTCCCTCTGAATTTACGCTTTCTAAATATTTTGTACATTTGAAAAAGGATTACAAGGCCAAACTTGTTCAAATATATATTTTTCCGCTCTGGTTTGCGGCTCGGTGGTCTAGGGGTATGATTCTCGCTTTGGGTGCGAGAGGTCCCGGGTTCAAATCCCGGCCGAGCCCAGATTTCTTTTAACTCTTAATTTACGCTTTATAAATGTTTTGTAGATTTAAAAAGGATTACGAAACCAAACTTGATCAAATTTATATTTTTCGCATCGCTCTGATTTGCGGCTCGGTGGTCTAGGGGTATGATTCTCGCTTAGGGTGCGAGAGGTCCCGGGTTCAAATCCCGGCCGAGCCCTGGTTTCTTTTAACTCTTAATTTACGCTTTATAAATATTTTGTAGATTTAAAAAAGGATTTGATTTTATATTTTTCCATCGCTCTGATTTGCGGCTCGGTCTAGGGGTATGACAAGGCCAAACTTGGGTCAAATTTATTTCTTTGCGCTTTGGGGCTCGGTGGTCGAGGGGGTTTGAAAAAGGATTCTCGCTTTGGGTGCGAGATTCTCGGTCCCGGGTTCAAATCCCGGCCGAGCCCTGATTTCTTTTCCTCTTAATTTACGCTTTATAAATATTTTGTACATTTGAAAAGGATTACAAGGCCAAACTTGTTCAAATATATATTTTATCGCTCTGGTTTGCGGCTCGGTGGTCTAGGGGTATGATTCTCGCTTTGGGTGCGAGAGGTCCCGGGTTCAAATCCCGGCCGAGCCCAGATTTCTTTTTAACTCTTAATTTACGCTTTTATTTTGTACGCTTTATAAATGTTTTGTAGATTTAAAAAGGATTACGAAACCAAACTTGATCAAATTTATATTTTATCGCTCTGATTTGCGGCTCGGTGGTCTAGGGGTATGATTCTCGCTTAGGGTGCGAGAGGTCCCGGGTTCAAATCCCGGCCGAGCCCTGGTTTCTTTTTCTCTGAATTTACGCTTTCTAAATATTTTGTACATTTGAAAAAGGATTACAAGGCCAAACTTGTTCAAATATATATTTTTCCGCTCTGGTTTGCGGCTCGGTGGTCTAGGGGTATGATTCTCGCTTTGGGTGCGAGAGGTCCCGGGTTCAAATCCCGGCCGAGCCCTGATTTCTTTTAACTCTTAATTTACGCTTTATAAATGTTTTGTAGATTTAAAAAGGATTACAAAACCAAACTTGATCAAATTTATATTTCATCGCTCTGATTTGCGGCTCGGTGGTCTAGGGGTATGATTCTCGCTTTGGGTGCGAGAGGTCCCGGGTTCAAATCCCGGCCGAGCCCTGATTCTTTTAACTCTTAATTTACGCTTTATAAATATTTTGTACATTTAAAAAGGATTACAAACCAAACTTGATCAAATTTATATTTTTCCTCGCTCTGATTTGCGGCTCGGTGGTCTAGGGGTATGATTCTCGCTTTGGGTGCGAGAGGTCCCGGGTTCAAATCCCGGCCGAGCCCTGATTTCTTTCCAAATTTACGCTTTCTAAATATTTTGTACATTTGAAAAGGATTACAAGGCCAAACTTGTTCAAATATATTATTATTTTCCGCTCTGGTTTGCGGCTCGGTGGTCTAGGGGTATGATTCTCGCTTTGGGTGCGAGAGGTCCCGGGTTCAAATCCCGGCCGAGCCCTGAGCTTTCTAAATATTTTGTACATTTGAAAAAGGATTTACGACAAGGCCAAACTTGTTCAAATATATATTTTATCGCTCTGGTTTGCGGCTCGGTGGTCTAGGGGTATGATTCTCGCTTTGGGTGCGAGAGGTCCCGGGTTCAAATCCCGGCCGAGCCCTGATTTCTTTTAACTCTTAATTTACGCTTTATAAATGTTTTGTAGATTTAAAAAAGGATTACGAAACCAAACTTGATCAAATTTATATTTTATCGCTCTGATTTGCGGCTCGGTGGTCTAGGGGTATGATTCTCGCTTTGGGTGCGAGAGGTCCCGGGTTCAAATCCCGGCCGAGCCCTGGTTTCTTTCCCTCTGAATTTACGCTTTCTAAATATTTTGTACATTTGAAAAAGGATTACAAGGCCAAACTTGTTCAAATATATATTTTCCGCTCTGGTTTGCGGCTCGGTGGTCTAGGGGTATGATTCTCGCTTTGGGTGCGAGAGGTCCCGGGTTCAAATCCCGGCCGAGCCCAGATTTCTTTTAACTATTTTTACATTTGAAAAACTATTACAAGGCCAAACTTAATTTACGCTTTATAAATGTTTTGTAGATTTAAAAAGGATTACGAAACCAAACTTGATCAAATTTATATTTTATCGCTCTGATTTGCGGCTCGGTGGTCTAGGGGTATGATTCTCGCTTAGGGTGCGAGAGGTCCCGGGTTCAAATCCCGGCCGAGCCCTGGTTTCTTTTCCTCTGAATTTACGCTTTCTAAATATTTTGTACATTTGAAAAAGGATTACAAGGCCAAACTTGTTCAAATATATATTTTTCCTCTCTGGTTTGCGGCTCGGTGGTCTAGGGGTATGATTCTCGCTTTGGGTGCGAGAGGTCCCGGGTTCAAATCCCGGCCGAGCCCAGATTTCTTTTTCAACTCTTAATTTACGCTTTATAAATGTTTTGTAGATTTAAAAAAGGATTACGAAACCAAACTTGATCAAATTTATATTTTATCGCTCTGATTTGCGGCTCGGTGGTCTAGGGGTATGATTCTCGCTTAGGGTGCGAGAGGTCCCGGGTTCAAATCCCGGCCGAGCCCTGGTTTCTTTCCCTCTGAATTTACGCTTTCTAAATATTTTGTACATTTGAAAAAGGACTACAAGGCCAAACTTGTTCAAATATATATTTTTCCGCTCTGGTTTGCGGCTCGGTGGTCTAGGGGTATGATTCTCGCTTTGGGTGCGAGAGGTCCCGGGTTCAAATCCCGGCCGAGCCCAGATTTCTTTTAACTCTTAATTTACGCTTTATAAATGTTTTGTAGATTTAAAAAAGGATTACGAAACCAAACTTGATCAAATTTATATTTCATCGCTCTGATTTGCGGCTCGGTGGTCTAGGGGTATGATTCTCGCTTAGGGTGCGAGAGGTCCCGGGTTCAAATCCCGGCCGAGCCCTGGTTTCTCTTCCATCTGAATTTACGCTTTCTAAATATTTTGTACATTTGAAAAAGGATTACAAGGCCAAACTTGTTCAAATATTTATTTTTCCTCTCTGGTTTGCGGCTCGGTGGTCTAGGGGTATGATTCTCGCTTTGGGTGCGAGAGGTCCCGGGTTCAAATCCCGGCCGAGCCCAGATTTCTTTTAACTCTTAATTTACGCTTTATAAATGTTTTGTAGATTTAAAAAAGGATTACGAAACCAAACTTGATCAAATTTATATTTTATCGCTCTGATTTGCGGCTCGGTGGTCTAGGGGTATGATTCTCGCTTAGGGTGCGAGAGGTCCCGGGTTCAAATCCCGGCCGAGCCCTGGTTTCTTTTAACTCTGAATTTACGCTTTCTAAATATTTTTGTACATTTGAAAAAGGATTACAAGGCCAAACTTGTTCAAATATATATTTTTCCGCTCTGGTTTGCGGCTCGGTGGTCTAGGGGTATGATTCTCGCTTTGGGTGCGAGAGGTCCCGGGTTCAAATCCCGGCCGAGCCCAGATTTCTTTTAACTCTTAATTTACGCTTTATAAATGTTTTGTAGATTTAAAAAAGGATTACGAAACCAAACTTGATCAAATTTATATTTTATCGCTCTGATTTGCGGCTCGGTGGTCTAGGGTATGATTCTCGCTTAGGGTGCGAGAGGTCCCGGGTTCAAATCCCGGCCGAGCCCTGGTTTCTTTCCCTCTGAATTTACGCTTTCTAAATATTTTGTACATTTGAAAAAGGACTACAAGGCCAAACTTGTTCAAATATATATTTTTCCGCTCTGGTTTGCGGCTCGGTGGTCTAGGGGTCCGATTTTATCTCTCAGCCACTTGTACTCGCTTTTCAACGTACCCCTTCCCCGTGACACGCGTCGTCACTGTCGTCAGTCCTTCGGAAACTTTTTGAATGATGCCGTCGGCGGATGTTTCTATGTAGGTTTTAATTCGCTTTCGACGCAAGACAATTTGGCGACTTCATCAATGCTTTGGCTGTGACGTATAGTTTGTTGTTTCAAGTAAAAAAGTTAGAAGCGAATTATCTTCTCAAAGTTATGCGTGCACATGTATATATATATATATGTATAAATAATAAAAAAAACGAAGTAAAGGTAGGTAACATAATAAGTATTATATTTTTAAAATACATATTTTTTTTCAAATAAGATACCTAACTACTTTTATTAAGTCAACAAGAATTGTCAAAAAAAGAAACAAAGTACTACTGTAAGTGTTTTTATTAAAATATATATTTGATAAATTACCTATTTTATTATTTATCTGTTTTATAGCTTTTATTATTTAAAAATTAGTGTTAAAGTAATAGTTATAAGTACCTATAAATTGTTATTTAAGAAACCTATTTTCGAACTCTGAGGATCAAAGTAGGTAGGTATTTGCAGTTTTAGATTGTTTATTTGTTCAGAAATTTTCATTGATTTCAACATAGCTGATCATAACACCTTTACTCGTAAACTAAGTATCTAATATTTCCAAAATTAAAAAAAACTATAATGTGCAGAATGCGCAGTGGTAAACATTTTCTGACAAGTCCGTTCGTGCCAGTCGGCGATCACCGCACACCGAAGGCGACTACAGATGCGACGAAACTATGTACTTATAGTCAATCAGTACGTGAGAGAGTAGGACAAACAGTGTTTCGTGTCTAAATTATTTATGAGCTGAAGAAGAGCATCCAGAATTCAATCGGGATTGGACGGAGTCGTTCGCTTTCATATGCAACTCAGATGGTCTTCTGACTTGTCTCATTTGCCACGAAAAACTCGCACACAATAATAAATCAAATTTAGAGAGACACTTCACTAAAAAACATACTCAGTTTGCTAGTAAATATCCAGCCGGCGAAGAACGAAAAGCTGTCGACGAGCTCCAAAAACAAACAGCAATCAAGTTCCATGTTAAATAACTTCACAGATGGTGAGTATGTCAAAGATTGCTTCATACGTGCATCTGAAGAACTGTTTCGTGATTTCAAAAACAAACCAGAAATCTTGAAAAATCAAAGATTTGCCACTGTCCGCTAAAACAGTACAAGATAGAATAACTAAAATGTCTTCAAATGTAACATATTTGCAGGTGGAAGACATTCAACTTTCTTCTGCCTTATCAATTGCTATAGATGAGTCTTGCGACATGAAAGACACGGCACAAGTTGCCCTTTTTGTCAGGTATATGTCTTCCCAAAGTCCAAAAGAAGAACTTCTAGGATTGCTACCGCTCTCGGGACAAACTAAAAGAGAAGATATAGCGAATGCCGTGCAAAAATGCCTTGAAGACAATAAGATCGATTTAAATGAAATCGTTTCAATAGCAACTGATGGAGCCAGAAGTATGACAGGAAAAAATAAAGGGGCAACAACGATTCTTCAGAGCAAAATAAACCACGAAATTCTTACGTTTCACAGCATAATACACCAAGAAGTGCTTTGTGCCCAAACATTTCC